AACAAACCAAACATGCCCTGTTGTCGTGAGAGAAAAAGTGCAGAAGGAAACATCCATTAAACTCAGTGTGCTGCTCTGTGATGCTAGTTCAAGCCAGATACTTGGCATCTCATCTCGGGTGCAAGGTCATCAATGTTTGGGCTCAGGCTCTGAGCTGAGGAGACCCTCAGGATTGAGTGAAGGTGTGCGTGCAATATACCGGAGGGCCAGATCTAATAGTCATTAGAAATTATCCTGCGGGCCGAAATTAAATCCACCAAGGGCCTGATTTGGCCCCCGGGCCTTGAGTTTGAAACATGTGCTCTATGGCCTTTACTCAAATGAACAGAATGAGTAAAGGTTACCACATTTACCTTTAACGCACAAAATGAGCAATAAAATGATTTAATATCCGAAATAAATATTTAATTTAAGGGTGTTGGAATATTACTATCTCTGTCACAGTGTCAACACGGCAGAGGAAAAATAAATGTAATGATCTTTTAAAATGTAAAATATACATTAAATACACCAAATATGTACTGGGCAGCACGCTCTTCACAATTGAAAATGTACGAGTACATGTAGGAAAAGGTGTAAATGAAAGGAAAGTGTGTAGTGTGCAGAGTTTTACGAGATCCTGCCTCCTTACAGCAGATGCTGCAGGGAAGCTAATGACTAGCATGAGATCACAGGAACGCTGAAGACTCGAAACACACTGTGATCATCCTCCTCTAACATCAAAGGAAACACACACTCTTCTTCATACTTCACACCAACACTGGAACACACACTGTTTTCTTTATACTTAAAGCATGACTCAAACTTTAGTCACTTTATTGAGCTCTGAGCTTTAGAAAGTGACAGCCTCTGGGTCTGAAAAGTGAAGCCAATGCACAATGAAGTGTCTCGAACACAAGATCATTTGTATAGAAGACTATGAACACATTACCTTTTTCTACTTGATTTTTTACCTCTGTAAACATGTTCCTGATGTGTTTATGGTCCCATTTAGCCTTTAGCTTAGCGTTGGTGACGTGAAGTCATGTGACCCTGCTGTAGTTCCTTTATAGCCCAACATTAGCCACCTTTAGCTTAGCGGTGGTGGCATGAAGTCATGTGACCGTGCTGTAGTTCCTTTATAGCCTAACATTAGCCTCCTTTAGCTTAGCGGTGGTGACGTGAAGTCATGTGACCGTGCTGTAGTTCCTTTATAGCCCAACATTAGCCTCCTTTAGCTTAGCGGTGGTGACGTGAAGTCATGTGACCGTGCTGTAGTTCCTTTATAGCCCAACATTAGCCTCCTTTAGCTTAGCTGTGGTGACGTGTAGTCATGTGACCGTGCTGTAGTTCCTTTATAGCCCAACATTAGCCACCTTTAGCTTAGCGTTGGTGACGTGAAGTCATGTGACCCTGCTGTAGTTCCTTTATAGCCCAACATTAGCCACCTTTAGCTTAGCGGTGGTGACCTGAAGTCATGTGACCGTGCTGTAGTTCCTTTATAGCCCAACATTAGCCTCCTTTAGCTTAGCTGTGGTGACGTGTAGTCATGTGACCGTGCTGTAGTTCCTTTATAGCCCAACATTAGCCGCCTTTAGCTTAGCTGTGGTGACGTGAAGTCATGTGACCGTGCTGTAGTTCCTTTATAGCCCAACATTAGCCTCCTTTAGCTTAGCTGTGGTGACGTGAAGTCATGTGACCCTGCTGTAGTTCCTTTATAGCCCAACATTAGCCTCCTTTAGCTTAGCGGTGGTGACCTGAAGTCATGTGACCGTGCTGTAGTTCCTTTATAGCCCAACATTAGCCTCCTTTAGCTTAGCGGTGGTGACGTGAAGTCATGTGACCGTGCTGTAGTTCCTTTATAGCCCAACATTAGCCTCCTTTAGCTTAGCGGTGGTGACGTGAAGTCATGTGACCGTGCTGTAGTTCCTTTATAGCCCAACATTAGCCACCTTTAGCTTAGCGATGGTGACGTGAAGTCATGTGACCGTGCTGTAGTTCCTTTATAGCCCAACATTAGCCTCCTTTGGCTTAGCTGTGGTGATGTGAAGTCATGTGACCCTGCTGTAGTTCCTTTATAGCCCAACATTAGCCTCCTTTAGCTTAGCGGTGGTGACGTGAAGTCATGTGACCCTGCTGTAGTTCCTTTATAGCCCAACATTAGCCACCTTCAGCTTACACCACCAGTCTTTTCTTTTCACTATCTTTGTAAAGCGACTTTGAGCACCTGTAAAAGCGCTAACAAAATAAATATGTTATTATTATTATTATTATTATTAAGTCATGTGACCATGCTGTAGTTCCTTATCTCCTAGCCTTAGCTTTAACTACTAGACATGTGGTGTCAATATGTGGAGATATCCTGTTGTATAAAACAAATAAGTATCATAAACGTTTCCTACAAAACGTATTTTAGTTACACAACTTTAGTCAATAAAATAACACTCCTTTTGAACGTATAGGCTACACACCTGTGGCTCTCTATATGGTAACCACAGACATACTAACACCTTTTGAAACCTAAAGTAAACCAACTTGCTGTGTGTAATTGCTGTAACTGACACCGTGTTTCTGGAGACCGCAGATGTAAGTGTTGAATGTTTTCCTTTTAGAGGTCTCTGCTTTGATCAGACTGTGAAATGTCAGAAGCACTTTCTCTGTGGCTCATAATCAGCCCTGCACTAAGTATATCAGACAATACAACTGCTAATCATTGAGTATACTGTTTGTAATACCAATAATGCATATTTCCAACTTGCATGTATCATCAAACATATAAACTACTCGCAAGCAGGATTTGGGGGACATTTTAAAATGCTTGTTGCAAAACGTATTTGTTTTTCTACAATATCTGCCTCAGCACTACAGAGAGAAACTCCCTCTGGAGGTATTTTAGCCTTTTTAGACCATTTACATGCACAAAAACCAATAGAACACACCACAGGAAAGGGAAAACCCCCAAAAGCATAAGAGCGCCTCTTTAAACAATCAACCAAGCAACTTTAGGGGACTTAAATTACTGAAAGATTACTTAAATGGGTGTGTGTGTGTGTGTGTGTGTGTGTGTGTGTGTGTGTGTGTGTGTGTGTGTGTGTGTGTGTGTGTGTGTGTGTGTGTGTGTGTGTGCAGAGATACAATCCCTTTTGGACATACTTGCAATCTTTAGCAAATCAAATTTTGGTTGTGATTTCTGACTGAGCACAGGGGGCTCGAAACACACACACACACACACACACACACACACACACACACACACACACACACACACACACACACACACACACACACACACACACACACACACACACACACACACACACACACACACACACACACACACACACACACACACACACACACCTTTACCCCACCAGCTGAGTCTAGAAGGGTGTGTTGGCTAGAGATAAGATTTCCTCTGATGTCCTCATTTTTCTTTCTGCTAAGCCAAATTGCACGCTGCTCAAAACCTCAAAACACGTGTCACATGATCAGCACAAACACACACTTTCTGCTTCAAACGGCCCAAATAAAGGATGTCTTTGTGCTACATAAGCAGCCATGCACCGAGGGAGAAAAACAATACCTACAGTAGCTGCTGTGGGGGACTCATTCCATAACATGAAATCATTTTTGTTGAAAAATCATAAATAAAAGAACAAGCTCATCATCCTGGGTTTACTAACTGCTTAATTATTCACCTAGCGCTAATTAGGCAATCAGCTGCAATGTATTTAGCCCGCAAGAGGCTATAACATATGAAAACACAGCACTTGTCTTTGTGTTGTTCCTCACATGACTACACCAGCTTTGTGTTGTTCCTCACATGACTACACCAGCTTTGTGTTGTTCCTCACACGACTACACCAGCTTTGTGTTGTAGTTGCACAGGCTGTAGAAAAATTGGAAAAAGGTGTGAATTTTGTCGCTGCAGACCACCTGCCTCTGTGTATAAATAGCCATTTTTATTATAACAAGAAAGCAACTTGAAAAGGTACACAGTAATTTAACCGCGTGAGTTATTGTCTCAGGTGTTATAGGATTTGGTGCATGTTAATGGTCTGCAAAGGCATATTATGTTTACAATCATATACATCTTCTAATTTAAGGAGCTGGAACAAGCTGTTAGTGTTTCTTGATAATTTACTGAAACCGATTAATCAAATGCGGCAATCACTGCTGTAATAATTTCCTGCTGATGTTCTAATTGGATAATCAACTCATGTAATCCTTTCGTCTTGTGCTTATGTAAAACCAACAACCATACACATCTGAATATGTCCGTTTTGGTGCCTCAAGAAAGACAACTTTCCAACTGAAATAGGTTAAAAAACTGATAGTATTTGTTAAGATAAATAGACCCCTCCATGACTCTATTCTGAGAGAAAAATATGTATTTATTTTCAGAAAAAAATTCATATTTAAATATTTAAGAAACGAGAAACATTTTTGAAATGTGAACAAAAGTAAAAAATGTTCTGACTTTAATCTCAGAATTCTGAGAAAAACATTGGAATTCAGAAATTTCAAAAATAATATTTTTTTATTATTGAAATTTCAGAAAAAAAGAAATTCACTAAGAAATATATAATTTTTTTATTGAGAGAAAAAAAGAAAAAGATCTGAAAAATAAATTTTATTCAGATTCCTGAGATTTAAAAAACTGGAGAGAAAATTCTCAGAGAAAATAATTTATATATTTTTTCAGAGTTCTGAAATAAAAAAAAAACGTTTAGGTCAGAACTCTATTTTATTTTGGTCACATCCCAACATGTTCTCACGTGCCCCCAATCCTCTTCCCTATTTAAATAAGGAAGGTGTTAATAATCATGTTGTCATTCATCCTCCTCCTCGCTTCCGGAACTCCACTTGAAGTACAGAAAAACTCCTGAAGGAAACTGCGGTTTGAGAAAAGCCTTTATGGCGCCGACGCTCCGCCATGTTGGCTCAAAGCCTGCAGGCCTGGAAGCAGAATCCTGGGTAACGGATCGGAGCCAACATGGAGGACGGAGCAGCAGTTTCATAACCCCCGAGTAGGAGGAGCCTGTCGGGTTTCTGGAAGCTCCGTGGAGCCGCGCGTCCAGGCAGAAACATCGGGGAGAAAAACACCAAACCACGGGAGGAAAGTGAAGGAAACACGGAGAGTGGAGGCTCGGATCTACAACGGAGGAGTGTGTGTCTTCACGCGTGTGTGTGTGTGTGTGCGCATTCCGCAAAAGAGTGTACTGACTTGAATCTGCCAAGGAGGATTGTGTGTGTGTTCTTGTGTGTGTGTGCATCCCTTTGGGGAAGTAGAGCTCACTGTGACCCACCTGGAAAGAAGAAACAGGAGTCTGATGCGCACCGTGCACCGGGTCTGTTTCTAACACTAAAGCCCAGAGTTACCGGGGGGCAGTGAACACACCACCGGAGGACTTCATTCCACTGTTTGTCTGACCACCACGTTTGAGACATACGGGGAAAAGCTTCGGGAAAGGCGGGGTCGAACCGGCTCCCGAACCGGATTATTGCGCTCCTTCTGTGGCGAATCACGCACAGCGACGCAGCGGTTTTTGGGGGGGCGGGGGGTCTTACAACTGGAATTTAGAAAACCTTCCTGTGGAAACTCTTCACCGACTGCTGCGGACCTTTTTTTTATTATTATCTGTCCGCTTGTGGCCTCTGTTCACCCCCCCCCCTCCCGGATTTTTAGGAGCACCATCACCAGCTTTGGGACGCGTATTTTGGGGATATTCTTTTCCCCAGCCGGGGTCGGACTATGGCGGACGACGACATCCTCTTTGAAGATGTGTACGAGCTCTGCGAGGTCATTGGCAAGTAAGTGTCGCTGATTTAAATGCACTTATTGTGTTCTGATGGTGATGATTGGTCACCGGGGCTTTCCAATTAGCTGCTCCTAATATCCTGAAGGGTATGGCACGCTCTCAATTGCACATGCACGCCCAAAAACAAAAAGCATGGTCCTTTCTATGTGGGAATATATGTATGTGTTCAATTGTTTATACTTACACCTATCTTACATTATATTTAACAGATATACACCCATCCCACAACTATTTACTACATTATTGCCCCTTTTTTATGGACGTGATAACAGTTGCTACATTCCCAGTTTTATCGTTTTATTCCAACATGCAGATAAGATCCAATTTCACTGTGGCAGCATTTCTCATATTCCCTGCACTGTGTATGTCGGTGTGTGTGTGTGTGTGTGTGTGTGTCGTAATTGCACGCACACACACACAGCACTTGTGTGTTTTGACCTATGGCAGTTGGCAACTTGCTGCAGAGATGAAAGGGCAGGGCACCAGACCCTCGTGAGTCACTGCACATCTGGCCGTCGTTACTTACTCTGAGTTATAGTGAAAGGGGAAGAGGGTAGGAGGGCACGTTTGGGATGTTTTTGGAAAGAGAAGTCTTTGCAATGTGGTATTGTAGTGGAATGAGAAGCTCCAATAGCCAACATGAGCAGTTTTACACAATAAATGATCCTGTATTATTATAGTAAACTACACGTTTGAAGGATTCTATTGTAAAGTATTTTTAAGATGTTGCAACCTTCCTTGATGTTTCTTGTAACCAACCCTAGGTTTGCATTCAATTGCAACTTCTCGCATTCAAATACTTTGAAGGATATGTCATTTCATAACATCTTAGTATGGGTAACTTGCAAAAACATGCAAGTGTAACATATATATAAACATTTGGGTTTTTCTCGACATAATAGCCTCTGAGAGAGAAATGCAAAAAGCGTTGCAACCGTCCCCAGTCCCTCTTGTAGTTCAATCAGAAGCTTCAATAGCCAGCATGATGAACAGGCCCTAAAGTATACACGTTTGAAGGATTCTATGATGTTGCAACCTTCCCTAGGTTTGCGTTCAGTTGCAACTTCTTGCATTCAAATAAATACTGAAGGATATGTCATTTCATAACATCTTGGTATGCAAACACATGCAAGTGTAATATACACACACACAGATGTGGTTCTTCCGGACATAATAGCATCTGAGTAACTGAAAGAAATGCAAAAAGTGTTGCAACCGTCCCCAGTCTCCAAGGGGAAGAGGAAGGAAGCGCATATTTGACTTTGCTCACTCAAATTTAATGTAGTTTAAAAATGTGGATCAGGATTAGTTGCATTGTCAACTTCTTCAATTCAAATAAATATATTCTGAAGTCTAATAATATATGAATATTTTGTTAAAAGATTGTGAGAGATGTTGCAACCGTCCCTGATGTTTTTTGCAACTGCCTGAAGGTTTAGGTCATTTGCACTTACGACTTCTTACATTCAAATACATGGTTTGAAGATGTCTTATCATCTAAAAGCAGACATGTGTGCATTAAAGACATGAATGTTTGGTTTGTCTGGATCAAATGGACTCTGAGTAACTGAGAGGAAATGCAAGAAGTGTTGCAACCGTCCCTTTGTCACCGTTGCGGGGGAAATGGTTTTGGCGTGCACGTTTTGGGGATTTCTTTGCACACAGAAATCCTAATGTTTGTTGTAGAATAACCACTTTCCTAAACTAACATGATGTACTATAGTTGCAGTTCTGAACAGTAAATGATACTCCACCGTCTCCAGGGTTTAGGCCGGTTGCAACTTCAACTTCTTGCATTCAAATAAATATTATATAACATGTCATATCATATCATCTTTTTAAAGGGTATGGATTATTAGTTAACATGTGTACGATTGATTGGAAAAGGGAAATACAAAGCGTGTTGCAACCTCCATAGGAGTTCAGTGTTTGGAAATGCAATGAAAAGTACTAGCATTTAGTTTAAACGTGGAAACGTCGATTGTAAATATCTATCAAATATCCCTTTTTACCTGTATGAATAGTAAGGCTGCACTATAAACAAACCCCAGCATGAAGACTGCTGTTAATCCCTTCAGAATAATAGTTTCTGTTTCAGAATGACAGGTGAATCATACTGTTGCTACACTAACCCCTTCTTTTGTTATCTAGTTAAGCGTGGTAACAAAGCTTGGTGTATCATTGACATTTATATATATAATTACACGCTCTTTCATTCAGTGTTTGGACAGTCTTAGTGTGTGTGTGTCGTTCCCATGCTCCTTCTCCGATGACTAATAACTCAGAACCGGTTACAAATGGCAGCAAGTGTTTTATTCCTGATAACCTCTTAAGACTCTGATTGTCCTGTGTTAGCCACACCTGGGACTTTCCTATTGCGTCATAACGAAACATAAGAAGGGAGTCTGAGTTGACTTTGTTTTGGCTTTTCTGCAGAGACACTTGAGTGTAAAAGAAACAATTGAGTGAAAACTGTTTGTGCTTTGTCCTGCATGAATAAGCGAGTGTGTGTGTGTCATCCAAACTGCTGGTCCTGAATGAAGCATTTGATTGGGCGTCACAAACATGTGAATCACAGTTTTTTTGCAGATATTCAGTCAGAGAGCAGGCCGACTGGTTCAGGGACTCCAGCGGTGACACATGGAGACGGATGAGTGTTTGACAGACATGCGTGAACTCCACATGTTTAGGCAAGCCTGAACGTCTGAAGAAAACATCATCCGGACAGTCAGAGGCCGTTTGTTTCTCCTTCACTCAAACACACAGTTCCCATGCATGCTTAAAAAGTCACAAAAACCAGTGCATCCATTCATTTAAAGCTATGGGACTGCAATTGAAAATGTATTTCATTATAGATTGATCATTTTATCTGTGAAATTGCAGACAATAGAGATTATTATCCATTCCAGTTTCTCAAAATGAAAGGGGATATTTTTAAATGTCTTGTTTTGTTAGTCCAAAAACCAAAAGATACTTACCTTACCATTGTATTGTCACCATAAACAAGAGACAAGCAGGAAAACTCGATATTTTTGAGGCTGGAAACAGCATTTGTTGGCGGTTTTTGCATGAAAAATGACTTACTTAGTGTTGTTGCAACTCTTAAGGCACTTAATTGGTATTAAAATGTCCTGAAAATTGAAAAAAAGTATATTGTTTTTCCAAAATCCTGTTAATGGTTAAGTTTTTCTTGAATCTCTTTCCAAATGGCATCAAAAAAATTCTTCAAAATGATAAATGTAACCTCGCTTAACCTCTAGGGACCTCGCTTAACCTCTAGGGACCTCTAGGAACCTCTAGGAACCTCTAGGAACCTCTAGGAACTCTGCAAACACACTCAAGCATTGACCTAAAAAACCCTCACGCTCTAAAAGCCTTTATTTGATCATGTAAAAATACTACATTTTAAACACATTTTCAGCCAGGGCTCTTGTCTGGAAAGGAAAGAGAAACCACACACACACGCACACACACACACGCACGCACACGCACACGCACACGCACACGCACGCACACCGTGTCTTAGCGTCTCATTGGGACAGGTTGCGTGTGACTTACAGAAGCAGAGAGCGGCCTCTTATCAGCCGACCTGCTGCTCTGCGTGCAGCCACAGCTTCTTTCAGGCTTTTTATCCTGAAACACAGTCTGGATCTAACCGAGGGGGAAACCGAACAACGAGTCAGGGAAAGAAACACTTTCAGAAGCCCAGTGTGTGTCCTGCAGGGTGAGACACATGTAGCTGCACATACAGAACTATAAATATATTTATAGGTCAAGCTGAAATGAGCATGGAAAGCAGTGCTGTGAGTGTGTGTCCTCTGGATGTGTGTGGCCCTTTGTAAAATAACAGGAAACACCCAGTATTTAAGTCCATATTTATGCAAAGTTTCCAAAAGATGGTCTCACTAGCCAAAGGGATGAAAGATCCACCGGCCAGGCATATTTTCTTAACTGCGTTACAATTAAAAAAAAAGTCCAGTTTTTAGGGCCACGTAGACATCAGTTTCAGTAGATTTAAAAAGGATTGTAAGGTTTTCAAGGTTCAAGGTTCTTTATTGTCAAACTAACATAGCTACTGAGTAACTATGTCGTTGAAAATCTTAGGTCACAGGCTTCTCCAACAATGCAAAACAATAATACAGATAAGCAGACGATATTAAAACAATATTAAAGTATATTATATTAAAAGTAATACAAAAAAGAAAAATTGTAAAATTGTAAAAGTGCTATACGAGTCTATATACAAGTTATTGGAATGATATATTGGATAATAGATACATAATTACTAAGTAGCAGATGAATGTTATGAAATTGTTTCAGCAGTTCAGTTGTTTAACAGTCTTATAGTTTTATGTTCAATACAAACTTAAAGAAGAGACCAGAGCACATTTAGAAGCTTAAATATGTTTTATATGTTAATCAATTCAAGCCTGAATGCAACTCTAGAAGTCATAACCTCAACATTTGACTGAAATAGGCATATTTTTGCCCTTATTTTTCCATTTTATATGTTATTTTATATCATACCAACCCTGAGAAAACAGCAATACATTACAAGGATAACTAGAGACAGTGGAAGAAGGATAGGGAAGGGATTAATTTATTTTATTATATGCTTGTTTTTAACACATGAGCATAGGAAATGAATATTATGGGTCAAATAATGTCTTTTTATTACAAATAAACGCGGCTGTTATGATTTGGTTTTGTGTATTTCGGCTATTAAATGAAGTTTTATATGAAACATAATATTTAATTATAAGAAGCTTATTCATTTTAATCAACGCCACCTCCTAATCTGCTCCTTCAGCAAGAGATAGTGTGTTGTAGTCGCTGATGTTGCATAAAAACACTCTGATCTTGTGTGAAACTCTGACAAACACAGAAGCAGCGCGCCCACACATCACACCAAAAAAAAAATATATATACATGTGGAAATGCAAATGTCCAGTAACAAATATAATGCAGGATATTTATTGAACAACAATAACA